ACTCGGGGAGTCTGAACAAGGCTGGCCGTCAGTGACCTGCTGGGTGAAAGGATCTTCGCCATCAGACGTACATGATCGGAGGCTCGAACACCAACAAACCCGAGAAGCCATGCGAACATCAAACAGCTGAGCTTCAGGGTAGTCAATTGGCCGCTATTGAGGCGAGAACAGCCTCGCCTCGAGTCGTAGCGCTGCATTGGGAATCAGTGATGCCGAGTTTGGTAGCAGCGGTATAGGTGATAGTTATAATGGGGGGAGTGGTTCACGCGAAAGCGACGTAGAGTAGCGGTCCACTGAGTAGTCATAGGTGGCCACTGGCCAAGTCTCGTGTCCAACATGTACACACGCACCTCCATCCGGCCGTCGGCGGCCGGATCTGTCGGAATACACACACCGTCAAAGAAGTCTGAACCGTATCGTCACGAAGAATGAATGAGTGACGCCTTCTTCATGTCGATACCTTCAACGCAGGGAGTCTGAACAAGGCTGGCCGTCAGTGACCTGCTGGGTGAAAGGATCTTCGCCATCAGACGTACATGATCGGAGGCTCGAACACCAACAAACCCGAGAAGCCATGCGAACATCAAAGAGCTGAGCTTCAGGGTAGTCAATTGGCCGCTATTCAATTGGCCGCTATTGAGGCGAGAACAGCCTCGCCTCGAGTCGTAGCGCTGCATTGGGAATCAGTGATGCCGAGTTTGGTAGCAGCGGTATAGGTGATAGGTATAATGGGGGGAGTGGTTCACGCGAAAGCGACGTGGAGTAGCGGTCCACTGAGTAGTCATAGGTGGCCACTGGCCAAGTCTCGTGTCCAACATGTACACACGCACATGCAGGCAGGTAGGGAGGCACTGCAGGGGCAGGCAGACAGACCTGCAATGTCGGGACGGCAGACCGGAACGTGTAGTGTGTGTGTACATGATGAATATCTCTGTACGCACACCTGCGCATGGAGTGTGTGAACATGGTGAATGTCTCTGTGCGCACACCTGCGTCGACTTGGAGTGCGTGTATATGATGAATGTCTGTGTGCGCACACCTGCGCATGCACGTTTGGACTTGGAGTGTGTGAGCTCCATAGATTAGACAGGCAGCTTGTTTCAGCTTGTTTCAAAGATATGAGTCTCATTGTCCTGCGTGCCATCCTCATCAGACTTGGCACACTTTTAAGTTGTTCAGGTGTTTTCTAGGGCGTATTCGTCGTAAACCCACTCCAAGTCCAAACGTGTATGCGCAGGTGTGCCCAGAGAGACATTCAGCATATGCGCACACTCCAAGTCGAATCGTGAATGCACAGGTGTGCGCACAGGGCCATGCGAAGCTGCAAGGGTGATTGCAGGCGAAGAAGAGTCAACAAAGGCTGTTGAGCGGCTTCAATAGTCACAGCCAGTGACAGTCAGCCATAGGCGAGGGCTTCTAGTCCTCCGATGAGCCTTCAAAACTTTAGAGCGAGAAGGAATCGACGATGATTGGCTCAATATGGCTTGCACTGAAAGCGACCTCAGTCTCTGAGATGGCCCGGTGTGTTGAATGATGTCTCACTTTGCGTCATCATCTGCAGCTGCTGACCTCTGGAGCCATACTCGTGAGAGGCGCAATCGACAACTTGAGACCATCAGAATACTGAGAGAACTCACTATTACATATGCTCGGTCACACGATGTCGAGAGCTAAAAAAGAAAGTACATCCGGATGCTAAAGGAAGGCCTCCGAAAGGGGACACTTCTCTTCAGAAGTGTCTTTCATACAGTTCCTTTACTCCTTATTGCGCAGAGGACCGTACATATCAACCATCTACATACCAGCTGGACCGCTGAAGGCACATGCAGTGAGGTCAAAAAGGGATATGCTATGAGGACCAAGAAAGCACAAATACAAATATGAGCAAAGCAATCTTCTCACTGCAAGAAAGAGCCCACTACGGGCGGCTACTCTCCAGTATCGCATACGAACCGACCGATGCAGAAGGCAGACACCATCGCACGCTCAGCCATGCAAACAGAAACGTGCACGTGCTCGAAAAAGACAGATGCGACCCACCAGAGGGGCCGCGACATATACATACACACCATACATACATGCATGTCTATCCCTCCCTCCCACCACAGCACACATGGAACACACATGCTCGAAAAAGACAGGTGCGGCCCGCTAGACATAGACTGCAACGCCGACACACATACATATTGTTACGAAAGTGTCATGGTGTGGATGTCCTCTCTCTGGCGACGGTCAAACTCACACGCGAAGCATACCAGCCATCCACACGTGCAGCCAAACACACCAAACAACCAACTGATCTCAGCCAACCGAGAGAGAGAGAGAGAGAGAGAGAGAGAGAGTCAGCCACACACATGCTTTCGTGCCGTCCGCTCTGAGTGAGTGTCCCGTGTTCCTCTGACTGATGTGCGGGTGTGGATGTATTGTCTGCCTCAGTATGTGATCGGCGAGGGGACGGACCTTATGGCGGATACGTAGGCACACACTGGGAGGCTAGAGAGACAACACAGACGGACAGACAGGCAGATCTCAGACAGATATGCGTGCATGTATTCCCCATAAGACATGACCCCAAAAGCATCCCAAGACATGCATCCGGCCAGTCGGAAGGAGAGGAGTGGAGTAGGTCAGCACCAGGGTGAGTCCTGGAAGGACGAGAAGACACGCGGACTCAGAGAGAGAGCGAGATCTGGCTGAGCGAAGAGGACGCTAGAAGGGCAGCTAGCTGTCGTACGAGTACTCGTGTCGCCTCGCTGCGGACTCACCGGGAGGGTGATCAGCTCCGAGAGGGAGATCAGCAGGACGACGCACTCGTTCTCCACCATCACTCACATGCGCACTCCACCATCACTCTGCGGCTCCAAGGGCGGCTTGGGAAGACGCCCTGCCGAAAGGAAGCGGTCGGAACGACCGAAGACCGTGCCGAAGCAACAGATCTCAAGAGAATGACTCAAGTCATATCGGAAGCGAACAATAACGAATCATATATGAAACGCAACGGGCACTAACTCGCTCGGCCAACTTCTCCCGTCTTACGCCCCCAAGCCCACGCATGCATTTAGAAAACCAACTACAGCCTCATCAGAAGCCCACGCATGCATGCACTGCAGGCTTTCTAGCGCTCTTATTCGCTGCCTCCCCTGTGCCCATCTACGGCTTGTCGTCCTGCTTACACACGACTACTATCCTTCAGCCTGTCATCCATCCATCAGCATCAGCATCAGATCCATCCGTCTATCCGTTCATCCACGGGCTGCATCCTCTCCATCAGCACACGGTCCACGGCATCCAATCCATCCGTCCATCACATCCAGACACACACGTCCACACTTCCAGTTATCTGAGCCGAGCGCCTTCATCAGGGTCACAGGCAGGGGCGAAGGGCATCGTGAGCACTTCGCAACAAGTGGGGTGGTGCACCTCTTTTGGACATCAAAAACAATGAGATAAGTGAACACACATTCTAACACCATCGGTCATTGCATGATGTGCTCATTACATCTCAACAGGGTGAGACGCCGTAGGATGAAGCACAAGAGTCCAGGAAGACTGAGCGGCAGCTAATGGAGAAAGGCCGGCAATAGGATAGGCGCTTTCTGTGTGGTGTTCCAGTCAGTTTGTGTGTCTATAGCTACATGACTTCAGTCGTTTTGCCACTGCACCATCACACATTCACCGCATCACCTTAGTGACCACGATGTGGTTTCGTGTAGCAATATATTGATGTTGAGCGCTTGAGATCTCAAGCGCGTGCGACACCTACAAAGATACGCCTGTGTCTGCGCATACAGTCGCATCGCACTATGTACATCAAATGTATACACGAGGCCCCCCAACACACCGCCATATACCTGCGCGAACACGGAAACAGAAATGGCCATGATAATCATGACAATGTCGGCGATAAGGATGATATGTTTTTGAACATCAGCGTCTCATTTATTGTCTTTTTCCGGCTGCCTCGTTGGCCGATCCCTTAGATGTGGGCGGGCGGTGTGTGCGACGATGGCCCCCTGACTGCCACTCGACTTGTAGTCCTCATTGCGGAAGATGATGTCTGCTGAGCGCACAGAGACATGCATGACTGGATAACGTGTGAAGAGAGCGTACCAGTAGGATGGGCGTCCGTATAATGTGTACGTATTGACTGTTCCATACTCATGCGTCCACTTGCATGTGTCTCTCGTAAGTGTGGTCGACTTGCCTGGCTGCCTGTGCGGCTGGCTGTGAGATACATACATGCACACAGGTTGACACACAGCCAGACAGACAGCCAACTAAGGGCCCATATGGATGTACCTGTATACATGCGCTCAGCCACATATACGCACCACCAACCCAGCAAGCCAACCATACAGGCACATATGCACGTCAGACGTGTGATAGCTGTGATCTATCTGGTGTCCATATGTTCTACACTACACCACAAACCCACATGGGACCACATTCCCAGGCCTATGTGCTTGGCTCCCAACCGAGAAACCCATGTCGTGACACGCACCAGACATGCTTCACTCACACGGAAAACCCGCCCCGACTGAAGAAGCTAAGCCACTGTCCCTTCCCCACCCGCCTCGTCCTTCCCCTCCGCCAGCCATTCGAAGGGACAGGTCTGCGCAAGGGACAGACCGATAACCTCTTGAATGGAGGCACGTGATGGCACCACGCCGATATCTTCGTCTCCAGCACGCAGCGGTTGGTCCAATCGTTCGATTTTCACCTCCTGACCCTGATCACCGCGCAGCCAGATGGCACGGACGTAGACCTTCACAGGCTTGCCCGCACCGCTGTCGAGAAAGGAGGCCAGGACACCCCCAGGCCCACCCCCCTTTGGCGCCACCGATGCGAGCGCTTCAGACACACTGCGCTTGATGATGGCGACGGAGTCTTTGTCAGGGCCCGTCGGTCCCTCCTTGCATTGGCCGCCGTATATCGTCGTCAAGCGCCCTCTCTCGGTCACAAAGACGAAGAAGTCGAAGCCAAGGAAGCTTGAGTACTTCGGCTTGACGAAATAAGACACGCGGGGCTCTCCTGCAAGTCTCGGGTCCATCTTGTCGTAGAAGATGGTGATGAGATCCTTCAGCGTTTTTGGCTCGCTTGATTGAATGACGCCCCCAAACTTGCATCCATCATTGACTGCAGCAGGGACCAACTGGGCTGCCGCGCTGCTCAGGGCTGCTTCTGCCTCTCCGATGGCCACCAAGTGACTGTGGAGGAGTCGGAGCAGCACCCCTGCGCCGGCAACGCCCTCCCATCTTCTGCCGGACCCCCTCTCATCGAGTAGCTGGTTCAGGAGCGTGGGAATCACCCTCAAACCAGCGGCAAATCCTTCGCCGAGCGCCGACTTGACCTCATGGGACTCCCCCAACTCCTTACACGCCAGGCCCAGATAGCACGGCGGCCACGTACACGAATCGCCGAAGACGTCCAGGAAGCGCGACCAGGTCCCGAGTTTGTCCAGAAGCTGGCCGTCGCCCTCAATGGCTGTTCGAATGACGTTTTGGGCAAGCGCCGCATCAAGACGAGGGACTTTCATTTTTCTGAAGGGCCGTCGCACGTTGTCTGGCTTGGGCGGCTCTTCCGAGTACATGAGCGTCAGCAACCCAGGCGCCCGCCCAGTCCAAGAGACGATACCAGCGTGTGTGTCTGGGCAGAGGCCGCTCTCGGTCACATCGGAGATTCTCTCCACCCTCGGAATTTGCGGTTTGTAGACGTCGCGGCCGCTGAGGTTCCAGTAGTAGCTCTCGAGACGGTTCCCTAGTGTGGCGATGTGGCTCGAAAACACGAAGTAACGCTGCCGCTTGTCGACAAAGTGCTCGGTCAGAAAGTCAGCCACCTCCTTTGCCAATGGCTCTTCCTTGAACTCAGTGTCTGCGGGGATGCGCTGGTTAAGTTCGTCAGCGAAGAGGACCAGAGAGTGGCTGCCGAGCCACTCCTGGATTGTCCTGCGGCTGACCGAGACGTTCTCCACCCAGTCGCTGAAGGTGACTTGGGCTGCAGGCTTTCCCAGAGCCTGTGCCACCTTGTCGAGAGCCTCCGGTGTTGCAGTGGCCCAGGCTATTCGCAACGCGATGGACTGCAGCGGGCTGCGGGCGGATAGCTCGAAGTCGGTGGGCTTCGTCCCCTCGTTGAACCTGCAGAACGATAGATCGCCACAGACAACAAGAAACATCTCACCATTGCTGGCTGTACACCAGCCTCTGTCTGTCTCTCTGTCTCTCTGTCTGTCTGCTTCTACATACGTGACAAATAGGGCAGGGATGTCCTTTTTCTGGAGCCCCAGGGCGATCTGCTTCATCAGTCGGGTCTTGCCACCACGCGAAAAACGAGTGACAACCATCGGCGGCACACGGATGGCACGGTCCTCGTCGCGCGCTTCATAGTGCCCGACAAGCTCTTGCGAGATCTTGTCGAGTCGCCCTTGGCCGATGTACGGCTGTTGCTGGCCGAGGTCGAGAGCGACGCTTGGCGCGAGTCGGAGGCCACGATCGATGGGCTCGGTGAGCCTGTCGACACTGATCAAGTCGCCAGCCTCGATCTCCACATCATTCTTGCCGCGGACGCCCAGCGGTGCAACGACGGCATCTGTACACAGACCCACACACAGACAAACAGACAGACAGACACTACTTGAATGAGTGCTTGCCCGCCTCGTCCTCTCTCGCTGGCTGGCTCGCTCCATCCCATCCAGCTAGCTAAGGAGGTGTACCTACGGGCAACTGGCCGCTCGTGGCAGTTCCTTCACTCATCAGCACCAGCCTCGTGGCTGTCTTGAGCCGCCTCACTCGTCGCCAGGCAACAGCGCTGCGGTCGCGCTGGTTCGCGTTGATGTGGGTCGGGATGGTGCGGTGTAGGAATGCCATAGATGCCGGCACCGTCCTCTCAGCCACGCAGCACAACAGCCATCCTCCCAGCACAATGAGGAAGTACAAGACAGCCATCATCCAGCGGGGAAGCGACACTGAGGATGGGTCATGCATGAGCTGGGCGTGCCCATACTGCAGTCAAACAGGAACACAAACAGGCACATACAAGATATCAACTACATGACTGAGAATCACAAACAGGCACATTCACCGTGATGCAATCAACCAACGTCATACTGGATGGCCTCACTCACCACGGATCTGCCACAGATTCACCTACGATGACACTCAACCCCACAGAGGGCAGGAACACAAGCTTCAGTCGGCCCGTGCGTGCACGAGGAGATAGATGGCCGGCTGGCCAGAGCAGCTTCACCAGCTGGCCGACTCAATCACCGGAACCAAGCTTTTCGCTGCTTCACGCGCACGTTCGTGGTTGACACGTCTGAAACACGCACAGACACACAATGCATACACTTTCAGTCAGAGATGCCGAATCTCTGTTTTCACACCTGTTCTCGCGCTGAAGCACTCAAGCCACAGGTCCACACCTGCGCACTCGCTTTCTCGACTTCTTGCACCTTTCTCACTCGCTCGCGCTCGCTTAGGGGTTTAACGAGACTCCTGTCCCTAACGCGTGAATGCAACAGGGCCTGACGTTCTTGCTGTGGCTCGCCCAGTGGGCAAGGAGCGTGCGATCAGGGTGGTTCGTTACTATCCGTTTTTTTCTCTGTTCGCTTCCAAGCTATATAGCTTGACACACTGAAGCAAGGCCAGTCAGTGAGGTTGGTTGGGAGAGATTCCCTTCCGTAGAAGCGCTCACCGCGCCCATTGGCTTTACTCACTGATGCGCTGACTCTGACTGCCTCGTGAATGATGGTTGGGAACGTGCTTGAGATCGGAAGAGCCACCTCGAGATCTGCTGGAGCACACGCAACGTGACGGCAATGACGTCTTGACGTGTCCAAGCAGAACCGCATCGGAATCAGCTACAGAAAAGCTGCACTCGGCTTATACCGCTTCTGTGTCGGGGTCCGAGTTGAGGAGGGAGGCGGTGCCTCTCGTGCGTCTGTGACGGTGAAGAGCGGAGATGGTGGGCATGATGGACTACGACCTGGTGATGTGGACGTGCTGACGACGACGGGCTGCTCACTATATGTTACTCTTTCCCGTTCCCTCTACCTTCCTGCCTTGCTGTGTCGGGATGGGCACGACAAGGAGCAGCTCGAGATAACAGTGAGAGACCGGCACGTCAGGACTGAAGAAGCAGAGACGAGAAGTGGAGAAGATGCAGAAACGAGAAGAGAAGCGTGTCTATCTTTTCACGACATGATGGCTGACTATCTCTGTGCATCACAGTGAATGGATGGGGATGGGAGAGGTTGTTCGTTGGTGTTGAGAAGACAGACAGAAGGCACCCATCTGGGGAATAACGTGTGCCTGATTGGCTTGTCGGCTAGCATCGACTCACTATCTCTCTCATCTTTGCTTGCTTGCTGTGTGCGTGAATGTAACTTGGCCTGACGTTTTTGCTGTGGCTCGCCCAGTGGGCAAGAAGCGTGCAATCAGGATTCGTTACTATCCGTTTTTTCTCTGTTCGCTTCCAAGCTATATGGCTTGACACACTGAAGCAAGGCCAGTCAGTGAGGTTGGTTGGGAGAGATTCCCTTCCGTAGAAGCGCTCACCGCGCCCATTAGCTTTACTCACTGATGCGCTGACTCTGACTGCCTCGTGAATGATGGTTGGGAGCGTGCTTGAGATCGGAAGAGCCACCTCGAGATCTGCTGAAGCACACGCAACGTGACGGCAATGACGTCTTGACATGTAGAAGCAGAACCGCATCGGAATCAGCTACAGAAAAGCTGCACTCGGCTTATACCGCTTCTGTGTCGGGGTCCGAGTTGAGGAGGGAGGCGGTGCCTCTCGTGCATCTGTGACGGTGAAGTGAGTCTTGCCCCAGCACGAAAAGAACTTGGTCAGTTCCTTGCACGCATAGGCAATGAGGTGGTCTCGTGATTGCGCTGTACAGCAGGCTTCCAACCAGCTCTCTGTACGGCAACTCACGTGCGGCCTCTGCCTCTGCTTCTGTTCGAGGGCCCATTTCTGAGCTCAAACGCACACCTGGTGGCAATGGCGTCATGGCTGGGTTGGCTCGCTCCATTCGGAACTTGGTGAGCAGGCTAGAGATATATTCGGAACTTGGTGAGCAGGCTAGAGATATATTTCTCTTGTGAGAGTGTCATCTCTCCCTTCTCTTTGTCGTATTTGACTTCGATGCCTACGAAGGTGTCGACTTCGCCCAGGTCCTTGACGGCAAATCGTTGGCCGATTTCCTCCAAGAACCAATCGAGGTCAGCATCGCACCCAGCATAGACAATGTCATCGACAACCACACCCAGCCATAGCTGTCGTGTCTTGTGTGTGAAGATGCAGGGATCAGCGACGAGTGGCTCGAAGCCCATGGCTCTCAGCGACTGCACCAGCAGCTGATTCCATGCTCTCGGCGCTTCCCTCAGCCCATACAGGGCCTTCCGCAGTCTGATGACATGCCCAGGCTTCTCGTATCCCTCTGGGCGCTCCATGTACACAGGAGTGTCCAGTGGCGCGTTGAGGAAAGCGGTGCGTCCAGCTGACGCATCGACCACCCCTTCTTCAATACAGCCGCCAGAAAGGTACGGACAGCCTGCCCAGACATCGTGGGTGCATACGTCTCTTCGTCAGGTCTCAGCCTCTGTTGGAAGCCTTTGGCGACCAATCGCGCCTTCTTCCTGTCGGGCTTCTGTTTGAAGACCCATTTGGCCTGGATCACTCGTCCATCCGCCTCCTCACGTAAGACATACTCAAACACACCCAGGTCATGCATGGCTTGATGCTCTTTGTCCATTGCCTCTATCCAGCCCTCACATTCAGGCCCTTCGCGGGCTTCCTGACATGTTTTAGGCTCATAGACGGTGTCAGCCATCGGTCCTGCCTTGACGCTGAATGCATTCACAAACAGGTCAGGTAAACCACCCGCATGGCCACGTGAGCGTCTCCTGCCAGCACTTCTCTGTCTCGACTGCTGTGTGAACAGGTGCGACCAGTCTGGTGGTGCGTCAGAGGTCCTTCCCGCATTGCACATGCATCGTGAGGACTTCACTGCCAGGCAGTGGCAGCCCTTGCCTCCCCTCTTCGCGTCCATCCGGTCCCCTCCTGTCTTCTTATCCCCACACAGACGTACGACAACCGGTCCATTCGCCACACCGACCTGCACAGCACGGACATCGAATAGATGGTCCTCGTACAAGCGTCGTGGTATCGTTCTCTCGCGTCCAGAGCGCCGTGGTGGAGGGACTGGTGGTGCTCGTCGGTCGAAAGCCATCTCGCCCTCATCGATCGGCATGAGTTCCATTTCTGCATCGCTCGGCTGGGGTCGGCTGCTGGGCCTGATGCCGGTTCGGCATCCATCCCATCCACCATGTGGTCGTGCTATGGGTTGGTGGCTCTCGGCTGCCCATCCATTTGGACGTCGCCTGACCCACTCGGCCCATCGAACGGTTCAGCCCCGCCTGCCTGCACATGGCCTTGCTGATCGAGGTGACCCATCTCCTCCAGCTCATCGGGCTCGACATCTCTTATCTCGGGCTTTTCGGCAACAATCGGGTCGCTCTCAGGATTGACTATCACATCCCCTCTTCGAGCCGATTGGTGCGCTAAGTCAGCCAGTCCATCCCCTCTTTGCGCATGGTCGTCGACAAGCTCAGGGCGGGCCTGCAGAGGTCCACCGAGTCGATGGGTGGCTTCCCAGCTGGCCGGCACGAGCCGTCGATGCCAAGTGCGCTTCTCGAGGAAACGAACATCACGCGAGATGATGACGCGTCTTGTTTTGGGGTTCCACATGCGATAGGCGTCCTTGGTGCGACCATCGTAGCCTATCAGCAGCATGGGAACTGCCCTGGCCGCAAATTTGTGTGCTCTGAAGGGCTTCCGCACATGGACGAAGCCAAGACAGCCCCACACACGCACATGGCCCAGGTAGGGCCGGCGGGCATGCCACATCTCATATGGCGTTTTGTCCTCTGAGAGGCTCTCTGTTGGCATTCTGTTCCTCAGATATGCCGCTGTGTCGATGGCGAACGGCCAGAAGGCCTCGGTGATGCCATGACGAAGGAGTAGGGCGGTCCCTTTCTCCAAGAGTGTGCGGTTCATCCGCTCGGCGACACCATTCTCTCGAGGTGTGTAAGGCGCACTAAACTGACGTTTGATGCCCCTATCAATACACTCTTGCTCAAACGAACCAGCAGAGAGCTCTTGAGCCCAATCTGGTCTGATAGTCTCAGGTGTCTTGCCCCATTCGCCGCACAGCCGCCGCAATGCAGCTGCCGATTCATCTCGGGTCCTGAGCATGTACACCGCCACCATATATAATCTCCCTCTCCATGGATGTCTGTGTAGTTGTCGGGTCCCCTGCCGATCGAGTTGGGTGGCTGGAAGTCCATGGAGGTCCTTGATTTGGACAATAACAACTTCAGCGGCCCCATACCAGCAGAGCTGGCAGCAGAGCTGGGACAACTGTCTAAGCTACGGCAACTGAGCCTCGCAGACAACAGGGTAGATACCGACGCACACTCATACCGACACACAGACATCAATGACTGAATCCATACATATGATCTCCCTCTCCATGGATGTCTGTGTAGTTGTCGGGTCCCCTGCTGATTGAAATGGGTGGCTGGAAGTCCATGGAGGTCCTTGGTCTGTACAATAACAACTTCAGCGGCCCCATACCAGCAGAGCTGGGACAACTGTCTAAGCTACAAGTTCTGAACCTCGGAAACAACAGGGTAGATGGCAGGGAGGGGCCCGTGTGGGCGGAACTCATCCCCGCCATCAACCGCAGTGACAAACAGGTCCGTCAAGAACGCACCATAGAGCAGAAAACCGAACGACAATACGACGCCGATCTCGTGTGTCTGCATGTTGCTTTTCCTGGCGTCCATCAGGACCTGCATTGGTCAGACATCATCCATATCGTGCGGACCAAGAAGGCCGACCCCCGCCCACATGTCGACCGCCCCTCACCCTCACCACCCCCACCCCCACCCCCATCAGCACCGGAAGAACAGGCGGCATCGCCCTCGTCTTTCGTGCAGGAGATCGCCTCTAAGATCGAGGGCGCATTTGACATGGTCGCGCAGTCGGTCCCCCCACCCCCGCAGCTGCCCACTCACAACGCCATCACCGACCTCCCCAATCGGGTACCCGACAGAGGGCAGCCGCAGACACGACCACTGACTTCCGGCCGCCCGTTGTCTGCCGATGTGTCGCCATCCAAGACACTAGAGTTCACTGTGGAGATCGGCACGGACTTCCAGTCGTTCATGAGTGGCCACGACATGAATGAGTGGCGCCTCCGGCTCCACCTGGCGGACTTTCTTGGCGTCTCGCCGGCTCTCGTCCACTGCCTGGGGGTCACTGCGGGCGCCGGCGAGGTCTTCGCTGCGGCGGCATCGCCCTCGACCCTCATGACTTTCACCGTCCACCCAGAAGCGCACCTCGACCGGCTCAAGTCACCGATGCGGACGTCATCGGATGTGTCTTGTCCACCAGCCGCTGTATCCGCAACGCCACACTGACTAGCGACTACACCATCCCTTCCTACCTCGACGCCCCCAGCGAGCCCTTCTGCGCGGCCCCGATCACAGACCCACGTAGCAGAAAAGTGGTGGGGGTCATCATGGCAACGCAGAAGAAGTCCGGAGCGACGGTCGGTGGCTGGGGCTGGGGCGGGGCGCATGAGGGAGAGCAGGGCTTCACGAGCGAAGACGAGGAACTGCTGCGGTGTTTTGGGCTGGCCGCTGGCGTTTTGATGCAGAAGGTGGAGGCCATCGAAAAAACGACGATTCAGAACCAAAAGTAAGCACGATGACTGGATGTGTGTGTGCGTGTGTGCACGTGCTGTTGAGCCCACAGACCACTTTCTCGACGCTTTGCCCTGCAGGATGAAAGATGCGGTAGAGCTTGCCTTGAAGCTGTCCAGCACGAAGACCTTCAAAGAACTTTTTACGTGTCTCGAGAAGTCATTGCCCCACGTCGTTGAAACCCCAGCTGTCCGCCTTTTCTGGTCGACCGCTTCCACATCGATCGCTTCTTCAGGTAAGCTCAGAATGCTCGAGCCTTCGGCGGATCAGCTTTATCTGTCGCATTGTTGCAGATTTGCTAACGGCGAGAGGGTGGCTTTTGATGAGTTCAGAGGCCTCGCAGGGGCGGTGCTCTACGACGGTCGCCAAATGTGTGTGCCCCAGGCCAATGCCGACGACAGGTCGCCACTCGAAGCACTGACAGGCATCCTAGTCAACAATGTCGTACCATGTCTCATGTCTCGTGCGCAGATTTGACGCAGGTGTCGATCTTGATGTGCCCTTGGGAATGTCTGTGGTGCCCATCAAGCTGACAGATGATCCGAGTGCGGTTGTTAAAGGCTGCCTGCAGGTCGCCCACCCCCGAGGTGCTGTCGAGCACCACACGGGCAGGTCGGCCGTGGACAGAGACATCCTCTCATACCTGGTACGCTTTGGCGGCAGGTCTTCCCGACCGATTGGCTTCGCTCGTGTCTGTCTGTTGTCATCAGGTCCGCCTCATCGCTGCTGTGATCGACATGCTGTGGCACTCGACTAGGGGGAACGAGCCGCTATCGAAGATGGCATTGGAGACGCCAGCACCAGCCCAACGGCGGAAAACCGCCCACTTCTACCGGTCCGCCACACTGGGTCATCCTTCGTCGTCACCGCTGAGCCCCCTGCGAGACAGCAGAAGAGGGAGCTCCAGCAATAAGGAGGACAGCGACGATTCGGGCAGTGACAAAGCGACATCGGGCCCACGACCAAACGAGCTTGCCTTCTCTTTTGAGATATCGCTTCCATCGCCTCCCGAGGAGCTGCGACCGGAGGCGTTGCCGGAGGGGCGGGACATCAGACTGTCCACTGGCGGCGATTCCTGCAGCACCCCCCTCACGAGCCCGTTCTGCTCGCCTGTACCGCATTTGCATACCAGAGGACTCGATGACTTGCGGCTGTCGGCCGTTGATGCTACTTCTGCTGCTGATGGTCAGGGAGACGGAAACGGCACGCAGCCGCCTCCCGTGCATGCGCGTGGCCCTTGTTTATCGACACCATCACCCCTCGACTCGTATTTTCGAAGCGAGAGTGGAGCGGCCGGAGCACCACCCCCGGCTGAGGACCTCTCGGAGCTGATTGTGTCTCGGGGAAGTCTGTCGGTGTCTTCGAGTGACCCCGCCTAGCGAGTGGCAAACCACGACTGCATGCATCACAAGATGCTGAGATTGTGGCAAGTGGGATGCGGGGGTTCGTGCTGTGCACAGTGAGCCCGACATTCTGGTCGGCTTAGGCGAGGGAGACGTGCTTCCTTTCATTCATGCTTGAGTCTCCGCTCAGTACGTGTTCTTCTTGGTTTGGTTGACGTGATGGATTGACGAACTAACTTGTATGTGCGTGCGTCCCTGACAAATGGCATGGCTTCATTAAATGCGAAATTCTTATACACACAGACATTCACGTGCGTGGACACGAGCATGCAACCGTCTGCTAATTTCATTAGCCACACACCCCGGTCAGCAGTTATTCTCATCAGGAAGACTGCTCCGTACATACATACATAGGTCAGACGAATTCATTACAACAGCGTCGGATCTATCTCAGTGGCTCTCACCCTGCTGTGCCAAGCAACCTGATGTCCTGAATGTTCGCCGATCCCAGCCGTTTAATCCCAACCGTCGTTTGCGAGCTGAGGATCTTGCCTGGCTTCTCAGCTCATCGCGGATCTCTGCAATACTCGGCAAGAGCCCTTTCTGACACGACTCGTTGTTCGACACCCTTGCACGCTTCTGACAAGTCAAGATCTGACTCCCCAGCTCAGATCACTCCAGATCTGTCTACCAGGTGTGCCAATACTCGCTGTCTGCATCAGGTGTGCCAATACTCGCTGTCTGCATCAGGTGTGCCAATACTCGCTTCGCTCGGGCTGTTTCTGGTGCCGCACCGAGCAAAATCATCGGCTGTGAGACCTGAACCCCCGCAGCAGCCTCCCTGCCCTCATCACTCGGCTATCCCGCCGTACCCCCAGATGGCGCCCACCGCGGTCTCACTCACCTCCCCCTCACCCGTCATGGACTCCACCTCGCCCCCTGCAGCCTCCCCCATGGCTGTTGTCGAAGGGCACTCAAGCCCTAGCCCAGGCTGCTACGTGAAACGAACCACTATTTGTGGAGAACCAACGCCACAGCGTTAGGCACACTGGGTCTTTCTTTGAGAAAAGACTCTGACTCCATCTGCTTGGTCATCAGCTACTCTACGAGCAAACTGGGCACGCTATTTATCCGACAGGTTAAGAGCCGAAGGGCTTGGTGACTGGCGGACACACAGCAGAAATCGGCAACGACAACTGACTGACAGAGAGAGAAAGAAGAAACAAACACTCTTTTGGCCGTGTCTCACAAAGATGAGCTCAGGTTTTCTCTTTCGTCTGTCGTTGCGACTGGGACACTACCTGACTGACCCCGGGTTGTCTCTCTTGTGGCTGCTGCTGGCTGCTGTGGGCCTCGACCTCTGCAATGGGGCACCCGGCACGCTCATGACTATCAAGGACACTGCTGTGTGGCTCATGAAGCTGGAGATACAGATAGGAGACGTCATTATCGACTGGCGGAACGCCCTGGCACTGGCGGTAACTTACGTCACTGTCTGGGTGTTGGCGTCAGAACAGAGGACATGGAGGTTCCTGAAATGGCTGCACAAGGTCGCGCGAGGCTGCTACGTCACGTGGTGCTTTGCTATGCTGCCTGTCCTGACAAGCTGTGTGGTTGTGCTTATCGTCTATTATGTGGTCCATCTGCTGGTTGTTTATGTGGTTGTTTATGTGGGGTACCTACTGACGGCCCTGACGACCATGGTGACGCAGATGACTGCTATGACAACGGCATTCGTCAGCTATGTGGCATCTTACTTAGGGTGCGCAGCAGCGTTTGTCGTCAACCTGACTATGACAGATATCGTCTATCCGTCTATCGCTACCCTGGCTGTATGGTATCTCAACCAGAGGGCAACTGGTCTGGGCTACACTAGACTACTCTTGCTCATCGTCTGCGTGATGCTGCCACGAGTGCACGCGCTGCCAATCTCACCAGCCAACCTGACACAAAGGGGATGCAGACACACACTCAATGTGCTTGTCAAGCTGCTCGTGCTCACAGGCATCCCTACCTTGCTGGTTGGTCGTTGGGTGTGTGGCAATGAAGGCGGAAGCGATGACACTAGCTCAAAGATACGTCCATGGGCATTTCCAAGTGAGTTCAAGGCTTACGGGGATGATTTCCAGAAAGTGGAAGACGCACTTTAAGTCGTGGGCGTCAATCAATGGCTTGGCTGACGTCGTGGCTGATGAGGCGCTCCACGAGAGACCCCAGCTGACACAAGTCGGCAACATGCCTGTACCACAATACGACGACAACGGCAAGTGGACTGATGCTTACAATCAACAGAACGCAGAGTGGGATCTGCTGAAGCACCAACAGAAGGACGAGATCCACAGGCGTCATCTCCTTCACGCTGAGCTCTTGTCGGCCTGCAAGGGTAACGACACTGCCTTCAATCTGGTGAAACGCACAGATAGAGGCAGCAGAGGAAGACAAAGACGGACTGTTAAGCGTGGATGGATGGCTGTCTTGGCGAGCTCTCATGGCTAAGTACAACCAGGTGTCACCCTCTGAGTTGTCGAAGCTGCACACCCTCATCCGCACGTATCACTGGAAGGGCGATGCGTCAAACCTCGAGCCAAACCTCGGGTACATTATCGGCAAGTTCGAGCAGCTGAAGTCTCTCGAGGCTCAGCGCGCCAAGACCGACGAACAGCACAAAAAGCTGGTGTATAGCTTAAACAAAACCGACAAAATAGCCGCCGTCAAGGCCATCCTGCCCAAGCAGGCATACCAACAACCGTTGGCCTTCCTCAACCTACAGCAGCAAAACGAAGCAAACAACAACTTCGCTGCGTTTCAGTAGTTGCTGCGCAACGACTGTGACCAGAACCTGCCAAGGTCTGCACAGAACACAAACACGAGCAGCTCAGCTGCCGGCGCACAGAACGACATTGTCATGACCAACAATGGCGAGTCTGTCATGCCCCCCGTCGCTCACTCTGCAATGACCCGCGATGAGGTGATGACCAACAGCAACTCCACCAAATGCGACATATGTGGCATGTCGAATCACTCGACTGGGGAGTGCTGGCACCTGGGCATAGCTCGGGATGCTGTACGAGCCAATAGAGCCCACACAGGCCGTGGTAGAGGCGGTCAAGGGTCATCCAGAGGGCGGGGCGGACAGAACGGCAACGGCCGTGGCCATGGTGGTGGACCTAAGAAGGGAAACAACCA